CATCACAAGAAGAAGAACAAAGCAATTGAATTCCCGCGTTAACCAAAATCAGTCAACGTCGAGCTCATTTCTGAGATGCCGGAAACGATGGTTAGCTAAGCCTGATTTACGAAATTTCCAAACAAGTCAGAAGACCGAAAATCGGGGTTTGGCACAAGCAACTGACGCGCACTGTGTAACATTTTCCTTTACTAAAACCGGGTGTGCGTAGGGTGAAGGAGTGTCGTACCGGAAGCTCGTTAACAACTGAGGTCGTGAAGTCTGCTTTAATACCTGCTTAGGGTAGGGAGGGGGCTCTGTTAAGGGCTGGGGGGTCGAGAAGGCGCGGCTTTCTCCACTACACGATTTCCACCCTGCTCTTGACACAGTGAATTATGGAGCAGCACGGGAAAGAGAGAGGCTATATAAGTAGACCTCCGTGAGGCGGGGTTTTCTGAATTTTTCCATCGCATTCTTTTGATAGATAACCATTTTCTAAATTATTCCTTGAGCATGATCCGCCAATTTTTGCCTCATGACTCGTGTTAAGGACGGAGCCTACGATATAGTAAACCTCGAAGACACTTTTTAGTGCCGAACAGATTTGTCTGCCGTCTCCAGGAAGTCAAATCTCGTCTCCTAGGTTCGAATATTAACGACATCACTTCAGTCTCTTCGGGACATGCGTGCCGTATATTTCACTGGAAAGTGGTCGAAATAATAGGATTTTAATCCACTCGAATTAGGAATCCTAGCAACACAATTCCTCCTCCTGCGACTGGCTTTCCATTTGGTTATTGTGCTCGCAGCGGCCCTTCGAGGTAAGGTGACTTTAGGGTTGAACGCGCTCTACGAACTCGACCGACAGAGGTGAACTTCAGGAACAATGTGCTCCATTGCGCTTCGCGTCACAGCATTCACCATGCTCCTGTATCTCTCGCAGGTAAGATGCCATTGGTTCAGTAGTTCTGCCTCTGGAATCCTCAATTACCGTCCTCCTGACTGAATTGGGGCTATGTTACCGTAATTTGAGTTGTCCTGTGAGGTTTTGCTTCATTTATTACAAGTCCAATGGAGGAGGGAATAGAAAATAAATAAGCATAGCAAAAGATCAACCTAATTTCTGATGCAACAGACATTGAAACTGAAACTGCTTCTGGTATTTCAGGTGACTCCCGGTCTACCCTGCACTTTCACTCACTTGAACACCACACGTTTGGCCAACGTGAAGCGAGCATTTTATGCATTGGAAGGGGCTGGCGCTGGTCTTGGAATTTGTTTCTCATATTGCTACACAACCCCAGGCTGCATTTTTGTCTCCTTCGCACAAAAGGTTCGTTTCGAATGACGTTCTTACTTATGACCGTCAAAAAGCCTGTTTTAAGATCCAGTTTTGCGAAGTTTTTGTTCCTGGAGAGCAAGACGAAACAATACCCGAATCATATCGTCCGGAAATCTACAAGTTCGATCGAAACGTGACCATTACGAGTTGTCCAACAGTGAAACAGTGGATGGCGCAAAAAACAACGGTCGCCGCTTGAATTCGATCGTACTGAACATCAGCGCAATGCAATTGCTAGCATTTCCGTTTGTATCAGTATTTTTCGCGCTTCCGTTGTTGTGTTGACTTGACCCTGCGGAATTTCATGTGCTCCTTTCATTTCCTATTTAGCTTGCCTAATAAAAAGCTTCGGCACATTGCTTTCATCTCATGCAACAACATTAATTTCATTGCTGAGAGTTGTTCGGAAATTGGTAGGCAGTGGAACCAAACGAAGCGCCCCATGGAGTTAGTCCCATTGGAAGAAAGAAAAAGAATAAAAGGCCAACAAACACTAATACAAAAATAAGTACAGTAAAACAATAACAATAACAAACAATTATGCAAATAAATGAAAAATAAAAAATAAAAAAGAATAAATAAAATTATAAAAAATTAAAAATTAAAATTTAAAAAACAAACAATCAAAATAAAATTACAAAAACAAGAATTAGTTGTGAAAATTAAAAATTATGCAGTTGCATTACGTTAGTTATGTTATGGGTGTAAAAAAAGCGGATAGGACTATGACGATACCTCAAGAAATATTTCAAGAAAGAGTGAAATCATGGCGAAAGGTGGTCAGCGTCATTAGCGCTCTGGCCAGATACAAGAATCAACAAGATGTTTGCAAAAGCATTTACCAACTCTGATTAGCCCATTGATAAGTTTAGAGGAAAGAGTAAAGATCAGTACATCATACACTGCGACGCATAATTATAGTTCCACCTACAATTTCAGTACCCGGCTGGATATCATTTTCTCACGATACGGCGCTTATCTCAGTCGGATAGTAATCAGGGTTCCTCCCAGTCATATCCTGTAGCATCCTTGAGAAATTTGTTCGTTATGAAGTCACCCCGACAAATTCCAGCGGAGCTGACACTTTGACAATTCCTGCGTCTCTTTTGCTAGGATTTCCCTTTTACGGAAGTGTGACAGCGGTTTTGCCTTTGCTATAAGCTAAGGAACTTGAATGGATAATAATTCCAAATTTTGATTGGGTAAAAGCAAAATGCAGCGGAGAAGCTAAAGCGGAATATTTTCGAAAAAAAAGGGATAAAAATTGTTGCTTTCTCAAACTGGATTTCCGTGTTAATATTCACAGATTCGTTATAATGATGTCTATCAAGTTTATCTGATGGCGAGCTTCCACCAAAACTCGCCCAGATTCAGTTTTTTGGGAAATTTGTAGGTGGAACTATAATTATGCGTCGCAGTGTATACATTCAAATGCATTTACGACCAATTACACCGCGATCGTAGTGCCTGGCGCATTTCAGACACTGTCACCACTATGAGTGCTGTTTTAGCTTTTTATTTTACGGAAGAATTCCGCCTAGTATAGTTTGATTCCTTTAGAATTTGAATCTGAAGGAAATAAGTAAGCTTCGTTGAAGTGTCAGTTCCGTTTGGGGCAATCAATTTGTGGAAGATTTTCCCACAAGTTTTTATGAACCGAAATTTAGTGTCAATTTGCGCGCTTTTTTAGTCATGCATTTTTTAGCCAGTCAATCAGTTGGCAGCTATTTTTCCACGTGCTCCTCGAATCGCATGACGTCAAAATTATGTGGCTAATAACGATGGTGGCTCCACATCAAAGAATCTCCGATTTGTATGAATTACAAAACCCGGTAACCAGCTCGATCGAGAGCGGCTCACTATTGGCTCACTACCACACCTTGCAGGCGAGGAGAGCCCCAAATGTGCCTCATTCACCATGCGGCTGTACTATTCCGCTGCTACACTCCACCTTTAAAAGCAATTGTGCTCCACAGTTGCCGTCCATTTTCTCGTCGCGTAGTAGGCAGAGGAATCGACAGCAGGGCACGTTGAAAGCAAGTAGATAACATGTGGCACTGCGTGCCCCAGCGCCAACGCGGGTTACGGTGGAACCAATTCGGCGCGCAAAAGAATCGTTCTACTAGCGACGATCGTTTTTGTTCTCTCTCTACAGAAGAATATTCATCAGTTTTTGCACTTAACACAATGAAGTACGGGAAAGTACGGTAAAGAGGTAAGATCAACCAATGAGACTCTCGTAGTGCGGAGCGCAAATTGCTACCATGGAGATTAGCCTGCCGAACTATTTAAAGTGTTTTTGGCAGTATTTTTGTTGAATGTAATGACACAATCTTTCTTCGATTGCTTTGCAACCCATCTCGGAAGAGCTGTCAAGATGGTAGAATATGCATTTTTCAGTGTTCTCCAGAAACGATGGTCAAGCGACTATGAGGTGACTTGTACTGAGGTGAAGATTAAGTTTGTTTTGAGGAACCTTGACCGGTCCTCGTGACAATGTTAAGCTGCACTTTCATCCAAAGAGCTTTGAGACTACCATATCCTATTGCAGACCACGGCGAAGCAGGAGAGGAATAATAGTTGAGTGCAATAAACGTCTTTTCAAGCAACTGGAGCCCAGTTAATGTGGGACACATCTACTTGAATTGAGAAAGTCTAGCAACACAATACATCCGTCTGGCGACTAGCTTTCTAATGGGTCGTTGTGCTTGTGTTCTTCCTCGAGGTAATGTGCTCATGGTTGGACGCCCTCTTCAACCGACAGTGGTGAATTTTAGTAACAATGTGCTTCTCTGCGCTTCGCGTCACAGCATTTTTCATGCTCCTGCATCTCTCCCAGGTAAAATTTCATGATGATCAGTCCAACAGCTTTATCTCCTGATTGACTTCATACACGCATTTACCCGGCTTGCAGCTAATTTACCGTAACATAAGTTGCTTTCAATGATTTTGCTCATGCTCAATACAGCTTTCAGTAGCAAATAAAAGGAATCGTGCCACGAAAAGTTGTTCCGTTCCCATTTGCTGGCGGTATCTGCCATGGTAGGCCAGACCGCAAAGTGCATTTATGGCGATATGCACGGCAGGTGCGGAGATATGCGTCATGTTCTGAAGAGGTTTATCATAAAACCCGTTCACCTTCACGCATTCGCACGCTTAAAATACGCTACTTCACAGCGCAACAGTTTTTGGTGTTCTACGACGGGAAATCAACATCCTTAGGTCTACCATTGCTCGAATTACATCGAAACTATGCTCTCTCTTCTCCGCTCTTTTGTCTGTCTCCGTGAAGCAGAAGATGAGACATCCCTCTGGTGAGCATGGAGTCAAGTTTTTTGCCGCGTGGAGCATTCCTGTAAAAAATCAAACACATCAGAAGATTACCCTGGTTTTGGCGCAACAGACCTTTAATCAATCAGTTTTTGCTTCACAAGGCTAGGTTGTGAACCAAAAGTATCGCCACAGACGAGACTCGAACCCGCACCCTTTGTTTACCGGCCAACTATAAGTTACGCTACTGGGGCACTATTTCATCCAAACTCAGCTTTTTTTGGTACATAGCTTGTCAGCATTCGCACGGAGAGCGTGTCGAGCCGGTCACGCCCTTCGACCAATGAATCGCGAAAGCTGGAAAGCTGGTTTTACGAATGGAAGCTTTGTGAGAGCAAGGATAAATTGACATTCTCGCGGAACATTCGCAAGCGAAGTACTGCCAAAAGCAAACTCCCGGGCAACCGTGCGTTCAACTATTCAAGCAGTTTCAGCTGTTCAGTACACGTTTCACCAACATAAAATTTGCAATAGTGAATCCAAACAAAGCAACTTTAGCCTTGAAGATTATTGTAAACCAGTGTTACAAAATTCCTTACTGCACTTCCCTCGCTTTCGATCGAGTCGTTTGTTTCAATCGATTTCTTTCCCATAATTGTCGACAAAATCTTGTTTCAAGTACATATTTCCCATACGAGATTTTTCTTCCTGGAGAAAAAGAATCACCGCGAAACTATTTTCTTACGGCCAAAATTTCACCTCGCGCTTTGATCGAAACTAGCTTTCAAATTAACTGAGGCGAGATTGATGAAACCTGCAATGCCGGGGCAACATACAACGCGTCGGGCTGGATTCTCAGTATGCTCCAACACTGTGGTTTGAACCATCGGGTCCGAATGATGCAATTCCCGGTAATTTCATATTTAATATTGTCCTTGTCTTGTGCTTTTGCCGATGTGCCTATGTTGGCCTCTGCGGAATCGCGGAGTGGCCCCTGGGACTCCCCATTCCCGCTGTAGATTGCTTAGGCAGGCAAAGTTACGGCGTCCGACCAACCTTAGTGAGGCCTTAGTGTGGACTAGCAAGCGTCTAGTTGCGCAAGTGCAAATAACCAGGCAAGCCACTTGCCCTACGTCTAAAGGCGTTTAAAAACTGACTCCCTTCGGCCCGGCTGTGTGCTGGCTGTCTTACGCGCGTACAGAAGTACAGAATTTGTGTAAGCAACCTGACGGCCGAATAGTCCGGCGGACGGAACAAGCGCATGCAAGCGGACCCATCAAAAACATACGCTTCTTTGCACAGTTTACATTTGCGATACGAGATCACACCACATTTTTCCTTTCAGGTAGCTCCAGCTCTGTCCTGCACATTCATAATGCTCCAGCCTGGCGTACTAATCCGCAATATCGATACAAGTGGTGGAACCATACCAGAAATAAGCATTGAAGACTGCCTCAATCGTTGCTGCACGACCCTCGAGTGTCATTGGGCCTCGCACTATCGTCCTTCTGATAACGCAACTGTAGGTTTCCACATATCATATATATTCTTAAGCAAAAAAACAAAACAAGACATCAACTTTTGGAAGAATACGTTCCTCTTTGCAAGCTACTACTCACAATCAAGAAATAGAGTCATTTTTTCTAAGATGTATGTGAAATGGTAAGCTAGAAAAATAGGGAGAGCGAAAAAAGTGTGTCCGCCGTTGCCCTTAAATCGATCGGTCCTTTCTTTCGAAGACTGAATAACTGGAAGTGAACTTTCACCCAACGGCCTGTAGGGCCTCGATGGTGTTTTGCATATCAGTGTTTTCTGAACTCTTCTGATGAAATTCTCTCATGCGACTTTTCTATTTGAGATCGGAATTTTGTGTTCTGTACAAGAAAGGAACACAGTCGATACACGCATACGAAGAGCTGTACTGGTTCC